ACAAATGTACGATTACAATATCCTTTTCTAAACTGAATTAGGAGCTATTCTATACAGGGTTACAAGAGACTATATATATAACTATGAAGGCTTTTAAAGCTATACGTCATGTAAAAGTTTAAAATAATTTAAGATACCAAAATAAACTGATTTATAATGAAGTTTGATAGGGCACTATGTGAGTCAGTAGCCATTACACTATATATGTATTGTTCTGTAATAAAATCATGTTTAAATGTCTGATACGTTCTTATTTTATCTTTACCACATCCCCTTGTTATACATGATTTCCAATTTTGAGCAAAATTTTCGAGGTTACTTTTGACTTGATAACAATCTTGTTAAACTATAATCCTGGTCACTAATTCATTTTTGGGAAATTCCAACGTACGGAAACGTTCGTTTAGCCGGAAGTTCTAATTACGACAGATTTGTCCGCTTTTGTTGTTCGCCCACATTAACACCTTTCTGTTGAGCCGATTAATATACATACGATATATACGATACCACGTAGTGTGTACGATGTCCCATTGTGATCATTCTGCTTTTCTTGAAAATGTTTTATGAGCATTGATACCATATTTCATGAACTCTAACGAAAAATTGAGACAAGAAAAGTATTTTTTTAGAAATATTAATAATTAAAACAACAAGTAATTCGATATTCTTTTTATATTAGAAATGGCAAATATGTTTGATTCCTAAGTTTCATCACAGGTAATTAAAAAATGCTTTACTGAGTCAAATTATATCAATAAAAAATATAAGGATATAAAACATTCCGGAATAATATTATATTATAGCATACAAAAGCATACATGTATACAGATAAAAAGTGAAGCGGAATATAAATTCACCTCAAGTTGCCTGTTTTCAGGGAGATTTATGAGGAAAAAATAAATTATATGAGTTCGATTTCGATTTTAAGCCTCTCCAACCCCTTCCCTTTTTTGGGCCTACTGAGTGTACCCCGACACTTCCAGGTAAGGCATAGTCCTATCAGTAGGTGTAGAAGGTGACCAGGTGCTAATGATGTGTCCCATGATGACACATGTACTGGCTATGTAAATCACCTGTAGGTTAAACTCAAATGAATTAATTGAATAATTCACTAATTTTAACATCTTCTATAACATTTTAAACAATCAATTATTTAAATCACAGGGAACCTCAATTTTTTAACGAACAGTTGCAACATCACTTCAGTTTCAGATTTAAGGGTTGCTAGGACAACGTGACCTTACGCTGACAGATATTTTTCTTTTAGTCGCTTCGATTTAGTTAAGCACTAGTTCTGTAATTTGAATGAATATTCCAAAACAGTTTGGTAAAGTGATTAGTCCCGTGTGGATTAAGTTTAATTAAAGGCTGAGATGAATGGATCGATATAGAAATGCCTTTAGATACTCAATGACAGAGATTTGTTTTATGATAAAATTAAGTCATATGTAATCAAAGAATCTAAAATGTCAATCATGTGTTTTTTTTAAATCATCAAAACACTAACGGGGATAAAGATTGTCTTGTTTACATACAGAAATGGTTTCCAAGAGGTCATTTTGGATTGCGTCTTGGAGACCAAGGGGTGAAAATCCTGTGTTTTTAGAATATCAACTTTTAAAAACAAATGTCAGACGTTGTTGACGCAACACTTTCGATACATATATGAAAGAGGGATTAGTTGAAACAGATAATTCCGGAGATGTTGACCAAAATGTCTTCTGGAAACTATTCAAAATTAGCTATCGTATTGCCCGTGGTTGTCAGACAGAAATAAAATATAATGGTACCACCCTATGCGAACCGGAACAAATTGTAAAAGCTTGGGGTGATCATTTTAACAAGCTTTTTAGTAACGAAAAAGTGTTAATTAATATTGATGATATCTAAAATAAGATTCATCACGACAGATATAAGTTTCTGGCGGAGGGTTTTACCAATGATGGAATTAGAGCAGTATGTATGCAGCTAAAGAAAAACAAAGCTGGCGGTTGTGACAGCCTCCTCTATGCACATATTGAGAATGGAGGTGATAAGTTATTAAGTTATGTTACACATTTGTTCAATCTTGTTGTAAAGTATGACCACATACCCGATGATTAGAAAAGGGGAACAACTCTAACATTGTATAAAGTTAATGGAAAACCAAAGATGATCCAAACAAAGGGTTAAGGGCGGTGATATTTGACAGACAAGTTGATGATGAGATAAAGAGCTATAACGTTTCTTAGACTGTCCTTTATGTTTGACTTTCAAGGTTACATGGATCAAATGTGTTTACATGGTTGACTTTTCAGATTATTTGAGTAAACAGGACTTAATTTGTACAGGTTCTTTTGAGAGACTTCAATGAGTAAAAAAAACTGATATTTTGCCTATGGATTTATTTTTGTCCACTTTTAAGGTTACTAGTGTGAGATTAATACCAGGTGCAGGCCAATTGGGCCTCTTGGTTGTTATTGCTATATGTTTCTTGCACAAAAGACAGACAACAGCTCATATGCTTTTATTGACCTGCATCTGTGCTCAAATATATGTCAATTTTTTTAACTGAAAAAATACGGATTTTCGTTTTGATATATAATAAGTAATACTTCGCTAGAGTGAAATACATATTATTGAAATAAAGGTATGCACGTAAAAGCGATATATTCTTCTGTAGTTTTGATTTATATTTTGGGGTAACATTTGTGGATACATTACCACCCAGGCACATACCTAATATATCTAACCCGGACCCCCCTAGCAGACTCCCTAGCTTCGCTCGGCAAAAGTATCGGACCAAAACTATTGGAAACCACCCATCTATGTCTCTGGATCCGCCACTGCACAGTCTAGCTATATATAATATATATCAGCTTTACATGTTCTGTATATCCAAGACAGATGTATAAAGACCACAAAAGCTAAAAATCCTTTGCTCTGTAAATAGCATTTGCCTAATAAGCAACGGATTAATTACTTCAGTATCTGAGATAATGCAAAGCAATTCCAATTGCGAGGTATTGACAGTGAATCTAGATTGTGGAGTATGAAGCAAATTCATTATTTGTACGTCAGCATTCTACTAACAGATATATAAGGATCTTTGTCAAAAATATTCGGCATTATGTTAGCTAAACTTTTATCAGAATAAAAAATAATATGATACTTTTTACTGCAGCTCTTTGTTATAATTATTTGAGATAATAATGCTAATAATATACAACATTTAAAAAGCGCCCTATATGATTTGCAAAATTACACAAAGCCGCTGTACAACACATGCAAATTATGTTCCTACAGTGGCAGTTTAAATATAGTAGCTAAAAAAGTAATACAAATCAGCATATAGTCTTACGTACTAGTAACCATATATGATGCAAGGTGATCACCACACTCCTTTAAATCTAAATTTGCAAACCATCAAAAACCGAAATTCTGAAATATCGTATGACTGCATCCGACCCCAACGACCCATCAGTCGAATATGATCCTCTGGAATATAACAGTGGAAAGCTGTGGTGGCTGGTCCACTACGAAACCTGTGAGGTTTATACTGGGCAGTGTTTAATCCAATGAAAAGCAAGAGCCTGTTGTCATTTTGTGGTGTAAAAGGCCTGCGAGACAGGCTGACACCCATCTAATGTGATCAATAGACTTGCTTCTCTGTCTCCTTGAAGTGTCCAGTACTTCGCTAACACCCTTACCGGACAAATGCCGTTACGTGTTTGAGCCTTTATATTTCATTGTACCGGTCTATGTGAGTGTTGGTGCTTAAAATACATTAAAGTTTACAAAACATGTCTCGATTTTTGTGCGCTTTGCCCATAGATAGGACAGTTTTATAATAAAACGCGAGAGTAAATGAGGTAAAACGTTCAGCTTACTGGGAATATGTTTTGCGTGAAATATAATGTTATGCTGCAAACACACAAGAGCCAATCTCCCAACCAACATGTTGTGTCATAGACATTTTGTTTATTATATCCACAACAGCTCTGTTATCAAAATTGAACAAGTCGCATTCGCTCATAAAACAACTTGTTTACACATACTGTCCCATAGCACGAATGAACGAGTTCGCTTCAAGCTTGTAAATCTAGACGGGTTTGCTTGTTAAACGACTATAATGGCGTGGCTTTGTCTTTCCCTTTGCAAGGTCTATCAACCTGCGCAGGTACATGTATGTACGTCCTGGCACCACATACCAGCATGCTAGTTTAGTAACCCTAGCACTGACTATAATTCCCGTAGAATAACTTTCTCTCTCTTCTTTCTAACTTATAAAAACTTTCTGATCTTTTCCATTTTACTTTAAGTGACCTAGCTGCGTTGCTCGTTGTGTTCAGTTCAATCCCCAAATAGCTCAACACTGAGGTAGAACCCTCGGCTTTTTCTGCTTTAATAGGGGCCCTTTACACATATTTGTATAAACTGTGTCAAACTCAGCTCACAAAAACATGAATCTGGTAGACCAATGAACACAGAAATCATCCAGGTCATGGAACATGTGTGGTACTCTAAATCTCCTACATGCAATGAGCCCCCCATGGGCAAACATCTACCTTAAAAATAAAGCCCTTGACAAGCTGTTTCCAGCAGTGTATGATTTAAGGGGTGCCTTCCTAAATGCTGATGCTATGTCAGTTTTTGATAGCAAACAACTTTGACCTATTACATCAACTGGTCCTTTGTCATTATTCTACCAAAGTTGACCTTAAATTTGTTTTTGTAAATTTAGGGTTTGAAGACGTGCACATGGCACCCTTCATATGCGTTCATATATGTCTATATATAAGGAACATATATATTACGGCAGACTATTTCATTCTATTAAACATGTTTATTTAATTATAATAGGTAAGTTTAATAAATTATGCATTTTATGTTGTAGTGTAATTTATCGGCTGAGGGGTGTTTGATATTTAATTTCTAGGATGTTCGTTATTGATATAAAATTTAATATAACCGTTACCAATATGGCTCTTTTACCTTTTCATTCATGTTTCTTACCCCAGGATGTTGAATTCTACCAAAATCTTGAGAACGAAGCATCGATAGCCCTCAGATGTTACCTTGAAAATGGAGTCAAAACAGTGGAAATAGTAAGTTTGTTGGCACTTTTCCTACTTTGTATCTTCACCTTTCACCTCACTATCTGTCTAAATGGCATACTTTACCTTTTGGGAGGATAGTGGAAGTATACACACTAATCAGTTCCTCGTTTGTTCCTGAGGGGTGTTATAAGGAGGAACTGAGCATTTATGGTTTTATGAGTATGAAGTTGATAATAAAATGAAATTTGACAAGAGCAAAGCTCAGCAGTCATACAATTGTTTTCCTAGCTATTGAAGACGTCTTTACCATTGAGATATCTAAAAAAAAAAGAAGAGGGTTGATATATGTGATCGGAAAAAGTAGCCGGTTATGTACAACATCCTGCAAAATGTCAGAGTAGCAACTAAGATTTGTTATGGTATCCTAAAAAGGTGTGGAACGTTTCAAAGAGATATGGCGCGTAATGTGCGTTGCGTAGGAACACGTTTAAAGTGTATTGCGTATTGACACGCGTAAGCTGCGCTGCGTAGTAACACACGTAAGGTGCGTAGGAACACGCGTAATGTGCGCTGCGTAATTACACGCGTAAGTTGCGATGCGTAGTATTACGGCGTAAGGAGCGCTGTGTAGTAACACGTGAAAGGAGCGCTTAGTAGTAACACGTGTAAGGAGCGCTGTGTAGTAACACGTGTAAGGTGCGCTGCGTAGTAACACGCGTAATATGCGCTGCGTAGTAACACGTGTAAGGTGCGCTGTGTAGTAACACGTGTAAGGAGCGCTGTGTAGAACACGTGTAAGGTGCGCTGCGTAGGAACACGTGTAAGGAGCGCTGCGTAGTAACACGCGTAATATGCGCTGCGTAGTAACACGTGTAAGGTGCGCTGTGTAGTAACACGTGTAAGGAGCGCTGTGTAGTAACACGTGTAAGGAGCGCTGTGTAGTAACCCACGTAATATGCGCTGCGTAGTAACACGTGTAAGGGGCGCTGTGTAGTAACACGTGTAAGGAGCGCTGTGTAGTAACACGCGTAATATGCGCTGTGTAGTAACCCGTGTAAGGTGGGCTGTGTAGTAACACGTGTAAGGAGCGCTGTGTCGAACACGTGTAAGGAGGGCTGTGTAGTAACACGTGTAAGGTGCGCTGCGTAGTAACACGCGTAATATGCGCTGCGTAGTAACAGGCGTGTGCTGCGTATTGACACGATCTTTAAATACACTTTTGATGACCGTGTCTCAAAACATCACATGGATATTACTATGAATACTATCACTATGAATATTTCAGGGGGATACTGGAAAAGAAGTTAAACATTTTCCATTAACATCAACGTATTCGGTAAGAGTTTGTTTGACATATTGGGTTATAATAATATTGTAATGGTCAAAATATTTGACATGCCTGTAAGTAATGATAAAGTAAAGAAAATGCATTAATCAATCCCACCTAAAGAGATGTACAACTAGCAATATAGAGACACAGAGAGAGAGGGGGGAGGGGGGAAGAGATAGAGAGAGGGAGAGGGGATAAATTAACCACAGAGAAAGTTAATTGGACAAGCATACAGGGCCTTACGAAACTTTAGTTAGTTTTATTCAGTTTTAGTGAAAACTAAGATTGGATTCGTTATCGACTCATATGTGGGTATTAAAGGGAGGTCTATGCACGTAAGAACGTGAAATAGAAATAAAATTATAATTAACGATGAATTCGTCCTTGCACGGAGCAATTTTTGCAATTTTGAAACACGGCGAATAACGAAATCGCGAAAACACGTGAAATAAAAAAAAAAGCAACCACATTGCACGAAAATAATCCTTCTCATAAATGTCCCGGAACTGCGTCGGATGCAGACCGAATCGGCCTAATATTCACCTCGGTAAATAGCCTTACGTTTACAAGGTTACTTTTCTCAAAATGTCAGCCTCCGTATCAATGGAAATTCAGAGTAGTCCAGGACATGTACACCCACATCCTCATATCGTTTCCAATGTTCATAATCTTTTTTAAGCCAATACAAAATATGAATGATGATCAAACAGCTGTCTTAGATATCATCTATTCCGTGCAAACTTAGTCCAAGATTCAAAACTATTGAAGTTGTGGTCACCGTGGTGAACATGCCTGTCATTTCTTTTTTGAGTGTCAATCTTATAGTAATGCTCGTACAATACTGTTCAAATACATTAACAATATAAATATGCAAATAAGTTTGAGGTTACTACTATTCGGTAATGAAATCTAGCTTTGGATGAAAATTGTAATTTATTTAGACATATATCAAATTTGTATTAGGTCCAGCGAAAGGTTTAGAATATAAAATGTATGCACATATGTGGTTTTTGATTTTCTCCCATTAATTGTAATATTTGTAATTGTCTGTCTATGTAATCACTTGTTATTGAAATGTTGATAGGAGATGGCTTCATAGGTTGCTATTCCGTCTTTGCGTATTGCAGAGTTATCTTCTCTTGGGAGCAGGTATTGATTGTCATTATTTTGTGAGAGTAACGTCATCAATTTTTGAGAAAACGACGTAATTTTCTCACACGAACCAATGACGTAACAATCAATACCTGCTCTCAAAAGAAGATAACTCTGCAATACGCAAAGACGGAATAACTTGTACCAAATCCTTTTTCCCCATTTGGACAATAAGATACGTTTAAAGTCAAACAGTCAGAAACAGTCATGCACAATAACGATCAGCAAATCGTGCAATGACTCTCATTCAAACCTAATCGTAATATATGTGCTCAGTGCTTAAGTCAATGAGCTCTCGGGGGAGAGGAGGGGAGGGGCTTTGCCCTAGACCCACTGGGGGCGTAAGTGGCCCCCCGACCCCACGCCGATTATAAACCATGGAGATGACCGAACGTCTGCAGAGCTCAACTATAAAGATCTCTCAGTATAAGTGCCATCTTAAATCTCTTTCGGTAAATTACAATCAAACTTATATCATCATAAACTATATAGGCTGTTTGGTGAAGTAATTCTGAATACAGACTTGTTAATATCATTATAATAGAAAACATTACGGAAGTTTTGCAAATAATGTAATATTCTGTCACTTCAGTTCAACATGATTTTATTTTCAGATGGGTACATTTACAGAAGGAAACCTGCAATATACTTTATCGGTAGATGATACTATAAAAAAGGGTCACGAAGCATCACCAAATACAAGTAACACTATGTACCGGGTAACTCAAAGACCTAGAGGCCTTCCTATAGACCATGACTACAGATATCTCCGTAAGTGACCTAAAATATGACAGGACGTTATTATATGTGATTGAAATAACGATCACAGTAACGAATGTCTCAAAGATGAACCTATCAATCCAAGAATATAGAGATACATCTTTTAGCTATGTTTATGACCTGTATTATATTTCAATGCTATAGTATGTATGATTGGTTATTTCTGTATTGGCCAAGTTACTGGTCCGATGCCAACTTTTTTGCTTCAGGCCAATGTAGCAGGCAGAGAGGCCAACATAGCAGGCTTCGGACCAATAACTGAACCAATACAGAAATAATCGATCATTAATGTCTTTAGTGATTTACTCAGTGACAAATGAAAGAAAATCATGACAAATACAGAATTGATATAGAAAACATATGATATATTTTGCACATAAAACCAACATAAAGCTCACCATTTTGTCGCTCTGTCTCGATAACTAAATTGTCACTCTTAGAAAACATAATAATTACCAGAAAGTATTTGCTTAATAAAGCATGTATTGGCACTATAAGATTAAATAGGAAGGACGTTCTTTCAAAATTATTCTCATCAAATATAAAAGATCACAGTAAAGGAAAATAATTTGTGTATCATGAATAACAATTAATTGTTTTTTATTCCACATATTAATTTCATTATGAAGTCCGTTATTCTTGTCTGGTCACTCCATATCAGGAATATTCTAGTAATCAGCATGTCTGTTATTTCATCCACTAAACTACCAACAAAAATAAATCAAAAATTTAACTTGTCTAATATTTTAGCCGATTTCTTTCCAACAGAAAGATTAAAGTATTCCGAATATTCATTATTTCAGCCACTGACCTTCCAACAGATATCCTCCTTGAAGGACAGCTACCTACAACACGTCAACCAGCTAGTGACCGCTTCCGCCGAACCGTTAATCCACGCTCGTACATAATTGATCTGTTGGTTGTTGTAGACTACCAGATATATCAAGAGTAAGTATAGCGAAACGTCAGCTCACAAACTATGTAGTCAGACTTGAGACACTCTTTGACATCAAGATGATTTCAGTGTCTACCTTTGCTTTTTCATTGTTACTTAGACTGTTGGTCATCTACATACTTTCCTCAATGTTGACTTATGGATACCCAGGACAATTTTTACTTCAGATTCTAATAATTATTTGCACGTTTTTTTTATTACAAAACATTTTTGATGACGGAATAAAACTGTTTTACATTATAATAAGATTGTTCGCAAACTTTATACTTACAGAATTTATTAGAATTATCATAAGTTGTAAGTAGGTTTTATTCAACTTGAACATTACTCTTTCTCACTCTTAATCTTGGACATGTTTCTTTTGAGGCACACCACATATTCTTCAATGTTTTTGTTTACTCGTAAGTTTAACTCATGTAAACATTAATATTAATATATTATTAGCTATTATTAATAAGTTTCATTGTGGTTCTGAACAGAAAATAATACTTTGATTCTAACAAACATGATTCAATTGATGAAAAACAAATATCAATTCCTCTTTCCTCGAGAAAAAAAAAACGACACCCTTTTATGACGATTATGTTTTCGAAATAACTGATGTTTCAGGTAAAATAATATCTGTATGAAATCGTGTAAAAATGTAACAAGCTGTTGCTGTTTTCGATACAGTAATAATATTTCCAATTTACTACTCAACGTAGGAATGAAGTATAACAATTCAGGAACAGTACTTGTGTATTCAGAAATGATCGCTGTTCTTTAAATAGTAAAGGTTATTGCATAATTAGCAAAACGTTTCTCATTTCCTTTTGGAGGCAAACTTTGAGGCATGTAAAGGTTATAAACAAGACTGATTTGGTTCAATGTGCTTATTTTTTGTTCTTACAGTTGGCTTAACAGAGACATTGGATTCAATGATTATGATAAAGACCAAAATGTCAAAAACAACCTTCGGCGCTATTTTTCACATTTTATAAATGAGGTAAGACAGTTTGACAAAATATTTCAAAAATATGCTTTTACAGCGGGTATTGATGCATGGTAGGCTAGTGGTAGGACAAAGGGCTCGTGATGGAAGGGTGGCGGGCTCGAGTCACGTCAGAGCACTGTGTTGTATCTTTGAGCAAGATCGTTTACTCCGCTTGTTCCAGTCTACTAGGCTGTAAATGAGTACGTGGTTGGGCAGTGCTAGGATTGTTAACTGCTAGCTGTGAACGCCAAAATGGCAGCACCGGCTGTATGCTCCCCATGGAGTTGAGAAAGATATTGGCTGACTGCAAAGGCCCTATAACCACGAATGATAATTTGTGAACCGCTTTGAGACGACCTGCGAACTAGGTTGTGATAAAGCGCTATATAAAAACCTCAAATTAGTATGTATGGTTCAGAAAAGTAAAGGTAATAAAAAAGGTCAAATTTCCTTTCACACTGGATACTCACGGACACGAAAAACTTAACACGTTATCTGGAGCAAGGCAGTAATTACAACAGTGAAGACTATCTAATGTTGTCAAATTTTTGGGCAGTCTGCTCCTTTATCAAGAAACACAGGTAGGAAAAAAAATGTTACATTATAATCAAACAACATTACAACAAAATAGAAAATGAACCTGCTATTTCTATCTCTTTGTCGCTTAACGCACGCAGTGTTATTGGTCAACAATGTGGTAAGTATAACTGTTTTCGGGGATAATTGTTCATACATATCTGTATTATTAATTATGTTTTACGTCAATAGTATTCTTTTTACAATATAACTGTTTTGTGTTTTACCGTTTATGTTTCTTGATAAGGAAGCGGATTGCTCCGAAAATTTGACCTCACATTTTCTTCAATGTTGTAATTACTGCTTTGCCCAAAACATAAAAAACAATTATATTTAAACAAACAATTTTCAAAATATGATAGATAATTAGCTTCCAAAAGCGTTATATTAATGTACATTTCTGTCTAGATACAATTCATTGATGGGGTGTCATTTTTGATAAAAGTGTGGCGATTTTATTATGGCAAATATCAATATAGATAGTCATTAATGTCGCAATTTCATGTTCTTTTCATTGAACAGATAGATCTACGATACCAAGGCATCGTCAGTGCGGACCTCAAATTTTCAATTAGCATAGCAGGCTTTATCGTTGCTGATGTAAGTTCACTGTAGTAAAGGATGTGATTGCATTCGTGTTATCATGTGTTAAGCTAAAGCATAAACACATTCATACCATGTAAGAAATACCACCAGTTTTCTTTTTTCCTGAAATAAATTTGTGACGGAAACTCATCCTTTGACGTCGTAGTGGGTGATATCATAAATATCACAAATCAAAACTAGATTCAATCGTGGTGTATATAACACTATATAGTAGCCAGAATATATGATTAATGAATAATGTACTTCGATACTATATTACATGTAATGAATAATTTTAATACAATACAATATGAAAATATCAAAAGAAGACAAGCATGTGCCATTATATTTGCGTAAATTCTTCACCTTCGATAAAATCGACATTTACAGCACTAGTAGCACGGATAAAAAAGAAAAATAGATAACGAGGAGAATTTGCTATAAAACCATGAATGATCAAGAGTACAAAATTTGCTGGATGACAAAAATATTAAAGAAAATCTTGATCGCTTATTATGAAACCTAACATATGCATTGAAATGAAGGTAATAACTTTAATAAATGAAGAAATTTAACGCATGCAATAAAACGTTATAATAAAGAACACATGGTTTCTCTTGTGTTTATCAGAGACCTGAAACATACCCCTGGATCGAGATCAGAAGGGAAATAGCCAAACCCAGGGACTACGTAAATGCTGACGACGCCCTGAAAGATTTTAGGTTCTGGGTTAAGAACACAAAGGGTTTACCACCTCACGATCACGCCATGCTGTTCACAGGGTAAATAAAATGTTATTGTGAGACAATCAAACGGAGCGAAATTCAGCCATATGACGACGAATACCAGAAGTAAACAAATACAAAAATAAAGGATATGTAATGGTTTCCTGATGATACTCATGTATATTTCACGAGTATATCATAATACAAAAAATTATGGCGGTATTGTCTGACATACGAGTAAACTAGTTATTTTGTAATATATTTGAAAGCATTTCAATGTTTTATTAAAACTACCTACAATGACATAAATACCACTGCATCAGAACAGTTGCATAATAATGAAGAAATGATGGTCACATTTTCGTGTGAATATAAATGTGGGGCGGGGCTTGTTCGATTACGAATCATGGTTTATTTCCGCGCGGGAATGGCAACGAAAGATAAACTACCAGGCTCATTTCCAGGCTTATGTAAATGACTATTTTGGCGTTATTGAAGACAATTTTAATGTACAAAACATTAAGCTTTAATAATAAAATTTAACGTGTTATTTCATTTTAAGCGAGAAAGCACAGGGGAGTTAGTAAACTTAGTGATGCATGGCTTCATTATAAAACAAGTCATACTTTTTCTAAACTAAATCTGACAAGATAACGATTGTTGACTCCTTTATTATATACATATAATTGATTTTATTATCAATGATTTAATACTTTATTCATAATGGTCTATATTTCTTTGTAGAATTGATCTTTACTCTTCAAACGAAAACACGAAACTCCTACACACTGCAGGTAAATACATAAGCTTAACAGTAACATGGATATATGTCTTCTAAGGAGAGCATTATTTTCATATCAGATACGTATGCTGTGTCATTGTTTATATTTGTTTCACGTAAATTCGTAAACAGTTGTTTAGATTACATTTCAACAGTTCGTAAATGTAGCGTGTATTAGTAATACATTAATTAGTAAATGTATGTGTAGTTAAATGTGGTATAATTCCAGGCATGTGATCACATTCTTGAAACCCGTGCAATTTCGGGGAAATAATAGGCCTTCTGTATCCGACTGCATGATCGTAAGAGGCGACTAATGGTGCCCCCTGTAGAAACGGGGTTGCTTTCTTCCTTGTCTTCTATTAATGGGGCATTAACGAAATCAATAATAGATCTGCTGTATACCACTGCATATCGTTGAAGGTGACTGATGTGGGTCACCTGCAGAATCGGGAATTTTCTTTCGTGTCTTCTACGAAGTGGACATGGAAGATACCTTAATTGATCTACTGCCCCTATTGCAACACTTAGAATATTTTTCGTGCCCTATTTTTATTGTCTTCCTTTTTTCTGTCTAATTTCTATTTTAGGCGGTGTCTCATTAGGCACTCGTCCTTATGTGACCCTGGTTGTTGCGAGGACGTTAAACCCCAAACAAACAAATCACATGCTTGGTTAATGTTAGCGTTTTCAACTATACAAACCTATTCGCCTATCAGTGCTTACTACAGAGATCAAATGATACAAGTTATGGAGGAATTCTAATGCCTAGATACGTTAACACTATTTTCACATTAAAAACTGTGATACACTAAATACATTCTGGTTTTCCGTACTATATAATGATACGCTTTCTTCAGGACTAGCCTTCATTGGTTCAATGTGTCGACCCAATGGTGACAGTGTCTCCGTTGTTGAGGATCACGGAGGATTGCAGAACATCGGCACAGCCTCCCACGAACTAGGACACAGGTAGGGTAATAGAAGCCTTGATATACACTAAAACCCCACGAACTAGGACACAGGTAGGGTAATAGAAGCCTTGATAAACACTAAAACACCACGAACTAGGACACAGGTAGGGTAATAGAGGCCTTGATATACACTAAAACACCACTAATTCGAACTCGCATTACTCAAATATCCCGTTTCTCGGATAGTTCGCTTGGTCCCGAACGTGTTCTTATAAATTCTTTTTAAGATATCGTCGGATTACTCGAACTGCCATTGCTCGAATAAGCCGTAATCCTCGTACTCTGATTTATCTCCGACCACTCAAAACCTTTGAATCTAACCTATCCATTCTTCGATCAGGTAGTCGAACCTGCTTATCACATCTACCGCGCGCCATCGACATGCCTCGAGGTAAAGACTGGTCTACGTTCATTGTGTTTAAACAGTTGTCGGCCGGACGTCAAATAATTAGAGGATTAACGACAGTATCATGAACTATCCGTACGGTTACACTGTTGTAGCTGCATTATCATTTTGCGTGCATATTTATTATTTTCCGACGACATTTTAAATCGATGTTCTAGCGGAAGTGGTGTGAAAAACCATATTTTGGCATGGCAATATTAAGCGGAAATCCCATAGCTGATTCTGGACCAACTTTAAAGATAGCCACACTTGAAACCGTCGTGATTGTTAATTTCACGATCACGTGGCATTATCACGTGATGTGATAATTTCGTTATCAATCAACATCAACATTTCAGGGATTCTTTCTTTATTTTATAATTTTTGCTTTGATATTTTTTAAATTAAACATAGCTAAATACAGTATATGGCGGATTATGATAACCTGACATGCTTGATTGGTTGCCCTAGTGGATGTAGAGAACCCTATTGATTGTAGGCTTGGTCTACAAGAGGCCCAACTCACTGTTGCTAAACATTGAGTTATGCTTAACTGTATTTGTCCCGACAATAATATAAAAAAAATACCATACTAACAGTCCGCTGGCAATGTGGTATGGCCCCCCACCCTCCGAATCATTTCCGGGGGAATAATAACATTAAATTATCCCATCCCCATATTTGTATAAAATGACGATGCAATTTGATGACACAATCAAAATAGGACATGATCTATCCCTTTTATTATGTTAACGACGGTAATTTAATATATATTTCATAACTTTTGACAGCCTGGGAGCTCTTCATGATGGAGAGGATAATAGTTGTACCTCTTCCAATCGGTACATCATGGCGTCTTCCGGGTATGGACCAATTCCACCCGAGAGACGACTCAACCAGTGGAAGTTCTCGCAATGCACAGTAAACTACTTCCGGGAGTTTATCAACAATCTCACAAGGTATATAGAATAAATCATATAGCATTACTCTTACGCAAACCCCAGACTGTGATGTTACATTGAATGATCGGGTGGTTAGATTGCGCACTTGCCTTTCACCAAGGAGACACGGGTTCGATTCCCCCATCGGACGTAAAAAGATATGGGTCATCTGCCCGACCATGTTGGTTTATTTATATATTGAATGAAAGATGTCAATTTCGTTATACAAATATAGCGGATTTAAAGAGGTAAATATCGTTTTGCATCTTATTTATTATTTCATTTTTTCTAAAAATCTGAATAAAATAAGTTTTAGTTGGTTGAATACACTTTTATACTTAATTACAATTCTCGTTTCTCGCAATCCAGATAAAGATATTTGAAGTGGTTAAAAGTTTGATCCATTTCAATAGGTTGTTTTATTAACTCAAACGAGTCAAGACAAGCGAGTTTCAGTATACTTTTAGAAAAAGAACACAAATGTTTCACTTACACGCACCGAATTAACCTTGAGTTAGAACATCTGGTGTTTGCACCTTATATGTTTTCTATTAAATAATCCGTAATTCTGCAATAAGAAAATTGTCTGACATTATGTTACACATATTAATTAATGTGCAGAATATTTGCATCATAAATGTGTTCGTTTATTCCTAGAACTGGATACAGCTGTCTTTCCGACAGCTATGAAGACATCGCAGTGTCGTCAACAGAAGTTCCAGGTCAACTCTTCAATCCTGACGAGCAGTGTCGTCTGATCTGGGGACCAACTTCTTATCTCTGTCGAGTAAGGGCAATGTATAATCCTCGTTATATCGGGTTTGTTATCCAATCATTTCCCAAGACGTTATCACGTGATGTACTGCTGTTAGTCAATCATTTTCCAAGACATTATCACGTGATGTACTGCTGTTAGCCAATCATTTTCCAAGACATTATCACGCGATATACTGCTGTAAGCCAATCACTTTCTAAGACATTTTCACGTGATGTGCTTATAATAAGTGGATTTAAGCATAATATCAGCAATATAAGTCACGTTATAATTTCTTGGAATTTGAATGGTCAACTACTCGTTTTGTTTTGCATAAATAAGTGGCAAGTCGATGTCACATCTGAGCATTAACATGATAACAAACCAAGTTACCTGCCAAAGTGATAATTTTCTCGGAAAAAGTAAAAATATGTCGACATAATTCATTCGTTATTGCGACATATTTATAGATTATATCGACATCTTCTCAGATTATGTCAACAGATAACTCGTAAGCCGAAAGTCAATTGAAGATATATGACACAATAGCAATGTATAAAACTTAATAAAATTTTAGGTTAGTGCTTGATTCAAGCAAATGTTAAAAAAAGTCGTATATGTTTAATATATAAGATATATCAAAATATTGTTATCGACGTCTTGTTAATGTATAATGGGATTTGAGATCTCTGTCTCATACTTAACAAAGAGTGCAAAAGTTCATGTTCACCATGTAATATATAGTCATCGTTCTATCTTCATGTTGAGATTGTGAGATTTACTATTTTTGTTGTTATTTATCTAGGAATTTGGCTAGCAAAAGGTCTATTTGTATAAATCACAAACAATTAATTTATGCTTCATGAGGGTCCGCTAAGTTTCCTTCGGAGAAGCTCTTAGTTTTCCCAACTTATAAATATTTCATAAATTGTTACGTATGGAATTGCATCTATTGCATATGTTCTCCGCCATTGTACAAGATATTTGTGAAGTTTGTCCAATATGTATATTTCTATATGCCCATATACAATGTGCATTCGGTAATAAAATTGAATTGAATTGAATTGAATCCTCGTTTAATTGAGGTGAATCATGTCAGCTTATGAAAACAAACTATAGAGAAAACATGAGTAGTACATGGAATTGAATTACCATGGGGTAACATTTCTTCCTAGTTCGGAATATCAACAATAGTATTGTACATTTAGCAATACCATCTGAGTTATTTAAAATGATCTTATTGCAGTTAAGACTTGTAATGCTCCTTCATCAAATTACAGCCGACTGTAATAAGGAACTTCTATGAATTTGGATTTATTGTTGTAACTATTCCGAAATGAACCTGGTGTTCGATATTCCGCTTAGGAGAATATTGATATCAACTTCTATATAGGGTCATAAAATATATAAATAAAACAAAAAACGAAATGTAAACTAATCGTCCTTTCAAAAATGCAATTAATGAATAACAAACAACTACCTCGGTAAAATTTAACAAACAAACAAAATTCGAAATAATTCTTTTTAATATTTATGAGTATCGAGTGCATAACTTTACTTAAAATTGACATTGGTTAGTTTATTACCTTCAAAATGACAATTAATCAAATTTAATTTCAGGGCTATGAATTTGGTAATGCTAGTACGATATGCACAGCCATGTACTGTAGAGACCCAGGCACTGATAGTGACTGTGTGCTGCATTTTGCTGCTAGGGGTACATCGTGTGGGAATAAAAAGGTGAGTGGGAAAAGAAACCTTTCATATTGATGAACATATACCGTTTAAGTGGGGTATTGTTTTGTACTTATAAGGAAAAGATCAGACATTAAAAAAAAACGGAATTAAATTTTTGTTTTCGTAACTTGTAAAATGCAGTGACCAAATGAATCCCAGTGTTCCCAGCAGGCTCTTTCAGTCGAGCACAACGTGCAGGTTAAATTTTAACCTCTACAGTGAACATTGTTTATTAAACTCGTCGAAAACGAGAACAGACAAAGTCTCGACTTATAGAGTTTTCCTCTTCCTGAGGGTGTGTCAAAAAACCATTCATCCCGAAGGTTGCTTGTGGGTTGTCTAACCCGAGGCTCTGCTAAGAATTAGGTTACACCCTCAAGGTAGAGGATTAGTATGCTCCCATCCTCACATTTCAATTACAACCCCACCGACAGTTGTTTGTAAACAAAAGCACGTGTGGTATTTGAATTTCTTCATTCACTTGTAATGACGTCACAATTTAACTTGTTTTATTCTGAAAGAGTATCTACCTTCTCCTAGGTGACAAGCTGATCTGAAAATTAGAACAGAAATGTGAACAACATCAGTTTTAGGGTAAAATGCTAAAAGTTATTAGTATTCATTATTGTACATACTTTAAGTTACACATATTTAATGATGTTGCTCTTCCTTTTAATGATTAAATAATAAAAATGTATACTTCCTTTTTTTCAGTGGTGTTCAGCTGGACAATGTGTTCTGTCTCCACATGCTCCTCAAAATCAAGGTATTTTGGATATGATAATATAACTAAAGACTTAAGCTCATATTTTCATGAACAAGTGATATAAAGACCTTCAATTGTTTTTGTATCAATAAAAAATGGTAATCAAGGAAATGCTTACATCATGAGAGTCTACATGTACGATTTGAAAAACTTATACCACTTTATAAGAAGAAAGACGTGACACTTTATTGGATCAGGGCCCTTATTCATGAAACCGTTCTCATGGTCAAGTATGGCTTATGTACTCAAACCAACTTTCTTGTTACTAACTTCAATCACGTCAGACGATCAAAAAGTCAAATGTTAACATTAAGAACAGAATTCAGCTTTAAGTCTCTTCAATGGTTTATTTTTTCAAAATCATTGACAAAACAATGTTTCATTATAAATTTATAACCAGAACAAGAAATTAGGCTTGAACACAAAATCCGTGCCGTCATACTATCAAACATTGAAAAAGAGCTATGTTTTCACCAACATACATGTATTGTATCATTATTGGAGGTAACAGCAGAGGTTATTTGTTGTCATTGTCTTACAATGAAATTTGTCTACCACATTCTCGTTTAATGGCTTTCTACCGAATCCTAATAGATTTTTAACTATATTTTATAATCTATACCTAATTTGGTTTGACAACAGGAACATGTCTCCTTGGTGACCAGCCCGGGACTGCCTTTATATCGAAAACGTGTGACGAGCTGGTGAACGAAGTACCTGCTTATTGTTACCAGGAAAAAGTCCGAGCTCGTTGTTGTGGGTCGTGTGGCAAATATTACACCTGGAGAAAGGGTACAGTTTAAAACTTAGTAAAATAGTATGGTTGAAATTCATTCAATGTAAATACGATCTTATAGATGACCTTCACCCTTGATGCAATTGGTATATATGTATATAATTATATCTTATGTTTAGTATTATTTGATATATATATAATGATTAATTCATAAATTTATCTGTGTGAAATATGAGATAAATCCGAATTTACAGTCTTAGTGAAAAATTGATTTATAAACAAAATTGGATATTTGAATGTTCAAATATTAAAAAACTTTATCTCTAAACAATCAATAGGTTAAGGAAATAAGTCTGTATAATTCCTGCCCCGGAAGAGTGATGAACGCAATGAATATCAGGTTCATTGACAGCGTCAGGATTATATCGCTATAGTATATATAACATTGTTATCTAGCCATTTAACAATGTCAGAAATCGATGTATTCGATTTGGATACACTGTTATTGGGAGTAAGATTCATTAGTTTGGTATGAACACAAACAGGAATTGAAAACTTATTTTGAGAGCTATTGTATCCTTTGTCAAGCACCGGCCATTTACACTCTTTACTTGACAAAGGAAAAACTCACAAAATATGTTTTCAATTTCTGTTTATGTTCAAAACAAACTTAGCCTTTATTATACTGTGTATTGGTTTGACTTTATATATCCCATCGTGGTACAAAAAGCGCAATTCAATATTTTATGTAAACAACAATTGCGACTCTTAGCACCCAACTCAGTACTGACATTGATGATATAATATAGTGTCTGTAACACGTCTATTCATGAATAGTTGTTGTTGTTGTTTTACTGGGTTTGAGGTATGTTTACGGGCGTGTTATGTATGTGTATGTGTGTACATGTGCTGGAGGCGATGTGATGGTGTATTTCACATTATACTGACAACGGGTGAAACAGTTGACGCCAATACCCTTAATGGTGATCGGGGAATAACAAAATCAATTTTAAGGACACATTTTGACGAGAAAACTGAAGAATTCCTATAATATGAGATATATCGCATAGCCCGCATTGTGTATGTTTTTGATATCATTTTGCCACATTGCCCGCTAAATCAGATGGCCCGCATTGGCCAAAAAAACTACTACGGGCACCACGCAGATTGACTTATGGTATATTTTTCAAAGATTGAAACGTATCTCTATTTAAAAAAGATAATAGTTTGAAATGCACTGTTGTATTGTAGGGTGTGAGTATGGCGATCGTGTGAAGGGATGCCAAGCTTGGCATTGCAACATGATTGGTACAGAGAGCGACATAGAGAGAGACTGTTGTGGAACGTGTAATGTAGGCGAAAAAATTACGACCACGCCCACTCCGACATTCACAGTCACGCCTGATCGCAAACCGGAGCCGCCCACAATGCGTACATCGTGCAATGATAAAGCAGACATCAACGATAAGTCTTGTGAAGAGTTTGTGCATACAAATGGCCGCCATTTGTGTTACGATAGCATCATCGAATCCTTCTGTTGCCATAGCTGTTTCAAGATCAGGAATAATGAAGAAACAGGTATTACATTATTTATTATTTACATGTTTGTGCACTGGAATTCACAGGCCTGTGCAATGCAATTCGCCATCTTGTGTACTTTGGTGAACCATTGCATAACTCTCTTTATCATAATGATTGTTTGATTTCATCATCTAGTACATATTTTAAATATCTCCCTGTCCTTCAGCTTTAAAAAGTTGTAAAAAGGGGTAGTAGGGACAAACCACCATACCATTTGTAAAAGTTGTATTTTTCTGCAAATTGAGGGTTCCAATTCCTGACCCAAAATGCACCTCCAGATTCACTACTAATATGTACTATGCACATGTAAGTTCCCAATTGAGATATTTAACTTAATGTCCATACCTACCTAAGATTTTACCCCACTACATCGACTGACTTTTATAAGTGTTGTCTGTGAATCAAGTTGGGTAATCCACTTGAGCGCATTACATTGTCCTTTTCTATTGCACTACATTGTTCAATTCGTGTGCACTACAAAGTGCACTAGATACCAAAATAAGTGTGTATATGCTAAAATGTTTAAGGCGTAGTAATTACCTGAAACTAGTTGTAGGTAGGAACTTCAAACGTAGGAAGCATTTGCTGAATAACTGATTATTTTGTAAGAGTCTTTTCATTTCTTTACTAGCTTCACTTGACTATATATGTCACATGAGTTATGTCATGTGACCTAGATACATATAAAAGAAAACATGAAAGCATACCATAAAGCATTTAAACGGCATACTGTTATTTTCTATTTCAGAATGTCTATATGGGGACCGATTGCCGTCGTTGTGCACTAATTCTAGAAATCGTACTGCAGCATGGTGCAAAACATACCAGACCGACTGTTGTGGAACATGTAAGGAAGTTATCTCAGGTGCTCCTGCCCAACAATGGAACGTGGGACTGTCGGCACTACTCATCAGTCTCCTCATCTTCATTTGATAGTAACTATGGAATACTTTATCAGAGGAATTCCAGCGACCTGTTATCAATTTCGACCCAAGGGTACCGACTTCACGTCAAGTCAGTTACAAAAGAACAAACGCCAACAAGTAGACAAGAAATTTTCTAACTCTGTGTAGAAGATATAGTTGGTTTGTGTCTCTCTGAGTTTGTTAAAAAAACATTTACACAAAAAGCTTGAAACCAAGATGTTACCTCATCTGCGTTGTGTTATAAAGGAAAATTATGTTATTGACTTGCTGAAATGGAAAGCTCGCTGAGCTTATTTTCAATAAACAATGCTTCGTACTGAAAGTGGGAATCATGACTGATGTGAGTGGATGCGCGTTTTCCCGTGATGATGTAATATATGTTATTGGTGTGGCGTTATTCTGCTTACAAACTAAAAGGTGCTTAAATTATAACACAAATCGAGTTTCTGTAGAAAGTAATCACTAGTGGACATTGACAGGTGGTAAATTCTCTGTGATGTTTTGACGACTATTTTACAGACACATTTCTGCGATAAATATTTGTAGGCGTAGCTTAGGTTATTATATATCTTAATTTCAGATACACAAAACAGTATAAAGCATATCAAAGAATATTGCAAACAGGGTTCCTGAATCGCTAATGGGTGATATTTATCGTCTTCTCTACAATGTCACGTCCTTAAATGACCTCAACTGTTAATAGGACGTTAAACAATATAACACCAAACTCTACAATGTACAGTTGATTCGTTTTTTTTTCGAGTAATTGATTCTAACAAGTTCAAACAATAACCAACAAATACGTAAACAATTAATTTCCTCGAGACTGAACAATCGAGATATAAGAACGCTAGTAAACTTCCAACAATTGTATATAAGTAATTGATAAGTGATTGATATCATTGATAATAATTCCCTACAATTGCTAATACATGTTACAGATGCAAAGCAAAAATCTTGGTTTTATCAACAACGTGCTTTCTTATTATATTAACATTCGTGTGGTATTGTTCCGATACTGATAGAGTTCCCAATGTCAGCGTTCTACAAATTCACATGTTTCAGTGTAATTGCTTTTAACATTAGGTCCGAACTTAATATATTTTGCTGGACTAATAGTGCACTTATCTTCAGTGTGGGTGATATTATAAATATAACACTGACACACATAATCAGCGTTATTTGAGCTGGATTATATCACATGTTGCTGCTGTTGTTCATGCTGATTGGGTAGCAGTCCGATGGTTTTCTTTTATGGTGATATGGTGAAATTAAGATATTCGGTATTACAAGTTTGTTAATGTATCCGGATTTTAAAAGGCCTAATATCATAAATACATTTGGTTATTAAGTAAAGAAAAATTAAATGTCATTGTGCAATTGTTCAAAAAAGCTGTACTTTTATCAAATTAATGATGCGCAAATAACATACCACCCGAGGAGATTTCCCTCAATCTGTTATGTTGTATTACTTTTCTCTTCGAGAGTATTTATATCCGTACCATGGAACACCATTGAGTAGATCGGATATTAGAAGATTATATAAATAAAGATTAAGAAAATAGTACGGACTGTTGTCTTAAGCATTGTCTCTTACATAGAGGGAATAATTTAAAATCAGTTCTATTAAACATAGACAATTGTGTGGGATAGGTGTTTGGAGTAAAAAAGCTTTTTGATTTATATTTAAGTTGTTGGTGAATAAATATTGAGAAGTACATTTTTGTTTTAATACGTCATTCACGTTTTGAAATTGAATCTTAATCACTTCTAGATCAAAGTGTTTGCATTGCAGTAAGGTGTTTCTATCTGACATTTTGATGACTAGTACGGTATGTACTCTGTCACCTTCATCAGACAAATGACCAGTGAGGCGTATGTACACAAAGGTGTAAAATGTGAGTTGTCAACAAATCGAGGTCGATTCGGCCACGCTGTAAGCGTATGTACAATAGGTGTTATATATGTACCGAAATGACTCGATTCAGCTACGCTTTGTTTAGTATGGGCCATAGATGTGCGTGCGTAGCTGAATCGACATCGATTTGTGGCCAACTCGTACACATTGTACACCTTTGTGTGCATAGCTTTCACTGGTCAACCAAACTGAAGAATTTTTTTAGAATACCCCCCAGATAATCAGTGCGTTAATGAGATAGACGTTCTACAATTTGTTCTACTGTCGCCTAGTTGTCAAGTTGTAATATGATTTAAATAGTATATGGTACAATGTTTTTACAAAAGGTTAAAGGAAAACTATGTTCTAGAAAATCAGATCCCCCTGAAGGGTAGGTGCATCACGTATGGCGTTATGATGACGCCAATACTAAAACCCTGCCTTTAAGCATTTTTTGGACAATAGATAGGAAATTAGCAGTTCAATGATTATCTTTTATGCTAAAATGACGAAAGCGGCTGAGACGGATTTCATCCTAGCATGGTCACGAGAATAATAGCATTTGATTCCCTTGTTCTCGGGATGTCTAATAGTACCTTTGGGTGAAATATGATAAAGTATTCTTGAGGATTAGGCTTTCTATTACTTAGACACCCATATTATAGTTTGTTCCGGGCCGCAGTCTTTCTTTCTACAAAAACCTTATTTCTTTGGTAAAAGGGAGCAAAAATACTTCATATGAAATATGATACACATCTGTATATAAGTATTCCCTGTTTAAGTTTAAATACCATCATCTCTCTGCTATCTACGATATAAACACTTTGCTCGGTTAAACAGTATGACTGTTCCTTCTGGTGACCAAAACCAGACTCACCTAACTGCATAGTTTTCACTCTATATATCATAGTGGAATGGAATCATTAACATCAGCGATTAGCTGCCATCTATCTTTAGGCCAATTAACCTATCATCATTAAATTGTATGTTCAAACTTAAGGCTGACCGTTTGCACATGAATACTTACGGCCGGGTACAAGCTGTCATACATAGCTCTTTTAATTTGTACGTGTATAACTGTTGAGATTTTAGATAACATGTAACCCTCAGGCCATCCAGGTGTTTATGTAACTGTAATATACATATTTTGAAAGGGGTACACATCTCTGGCATAACTAAAACCCATTTAGAAATTATCTCAACCTTTGGTAATACTCACTGTGTCACAAATTAGCTAATAAATAAATGTGTAGTTAGTTATAACGTCAAAACCTTTGCTTAACGTGCTTACAGAAATATGGCCATATAGATAAGTGGACATTGCGTGTCGCCTTTTCTGAAGAAACCGGCATAACTAATGCTGTTTTCCAGGAATTTTGATATATCCCTTTGTAAGTGATTTTTTAAAAACATGAAATAATGGGTAGGAAACAGAATGAGCGGCACTTTTAAGCATTGGATTGCTTCTGTTATCATATCCATCTGCTGTACCTATGTTAGGTTATTTAAGAATGTCAACAATATACGATAGTCTACATTACCAATCCCACTTTCTGTCCGTAGATCAACATGTGGTAAATGTACACCAAACCCGTCTCTAGTGGGAATAGAAACATAAAAATCGTCGCACCTATTAGCTTAACGTTTGCCATCTACTTCAACTACAATATATTAATCAGAATGAGGGTTAAGTAGGGTTCGGTTCTTCAGACTAGTATACCAGAGGTCCATGCAAGTGCAATCTCTAAAGGCAGTTCATGTACTTTGATAATCACGACCTCTGTTACATACGTGAACAGTTTCAATGTTCTATTTTTCCACTTTTAATTTCTGAATACATCTTTTTCGATATGTCGTAAAATCGCTTTATATGGTCAACTAACTCCTAAACCAACCAACCCTTAACCGACCTAACACTAGTACTAGGGCTAGAACAGGAAGGTCCGGAACCCATCAACGGCTCGTGTATTAAGTAACACCTCACTGACCTGTCCATCCTTTCTTTTCGTGGCTATGAAGAACCATACAGACTTCACTGTCATGCATTTAATTGCATTGGAATGCCTAAGATCCAAAATGCAGAATTAATATTTCAAAGGATCCCCGTCCTACTGCCGATGGACCCTGCGGTAAATGGAACCCTGGTTAGTTTTCAACGCTGAAAATAGATCCGGGAAACCGTGGAAAAAGGTCCCTTGCTCACTTTTATTTTCACATACCCATTGAAAATGGACCTCGTTGAAAAAGGGAACCATCAAAACCATTGACATTGATTTGAAATATCCAATTAGATATGACTTAATGAGGTGACCTTCGCTCAAAATAATTCTCAGTTTTGAAATTAATCCAGTATGGATTTTTCACCTAATTAGGTCATTTAGACCAAGTTTTCAAGATTTGACCTACATTATCATAAATGGTCATAGGACTCAGAAATTAATTTCTGAAAACAGCTGTAAGATACAATTAGGTTACTGTGACCAAATTTTCAAAATTTGCCCTACATCAAAAGTTGTCATCAGAATCAGAAATTAACATTTAACAGCTGTTTATCAAAATTAGGTCACAGTGATCTAATTAGGTAAAACAACAATTTTGTATTCATTCCTTAACCAAATGACAATCTTAAGCATTGTAAGTCACAGTTACATGTTGACTTCTGAACCAAATGACAATATATAATAATGTAGATCAATTTTTCGAAAAACAAACGTCTCAGTGCATATTTCTGAACCGAACGAAATTTCTTTTAGTATAATGAATCTATAGCAGTATTTCGTCAGCAAAATGTTAAGAGTGCATTTAACAGATAGTTTGAAACAAGTAGAACATATCTGTGTACAAATTCAGCATGTTGTGAGAAAAAAAATGAAATAAAAATAAAAATCAACAACTCTTATATTTTGCTCAAATAACAACTAAAACATCCAAGCAAATCAAACAAAAAATACAATATCATAAAGCACATGTAACAAAAAAAAACCCGATGGGTAGCGTTGGTTCTAAAATAGCAACTCAAACGCCGTTCCAGTTACATGATAAGCTGTATTTATTCACTGTCGTTGACAATTAAACCTATGAAATAAACAAACATATATATAAGCACTTACAAATTTCTCACACTATGAAATAATTGGATATATAATGATGAAAAATAACGAATGAATATTATATTTAAAATTAAATTATTTCATACTTATACACGTAAATACTTACCAGGAACATCCAGAGATAGGAGTAACTGGTTTGTGATCTCGGCGCTCCCATGTGTTAGCGTCGAGAGGTAAAGTCAGAGTGAAGTAGGGAGACGGCGGTGACTGGGATATGGATGGGTGGTCCGTGCTGCATATGCACATTCATACATTCCTTAACACTGGTATTACGCGCGATGATTTGAGTGATGTATTTGAACACCTGGCTTTATAACATTTAGCATTACAATGTTTCAGGAAACCCATAAGGTGACATGCAAAAACATCAGACAACAAAAGTGAATTTACACATGGAATACAAATTAAAGCATTTTTCCATAAAAAAGCAGACAAATACAGAGTAAAAAAATGCAAACATCAACTACATTTCTAAAACAAGAGTACCGCGGGGCGGAACAATATACGCCCGTCGAATGTCATAAAGTGTTATACACCTTCTTACATTAAAATAAGATCTGCATCATTCTAGTAGTGGTAAGCTGACATGCTATAAAAAATGTAGGAGAAAATCTCCGGACAAAAAATTAAATACTGAAATGAACAAAGGGCAATAACTTTAGCAAAAATTTTCGAATCAAAATTCTTTTCAGGGAAACACGAGTTCATATCATGATTTAATGAATACAAAGTTTCAAAATGATCCGTTGAAAAATGTAGGAGGATATTACCGGACAAAAATCGTATACTAAAATGAACAAAGATCAATAACTTTTGGAAAAATTGTCGAAATAAAATTCTTTTAAGGGAGACACAATTTCATATCATGAGAATGATGTATACCAAGTTTCAAAGAGATTGGTTGAAAATTGAAGGAGGAGATTGCAAGACAAACAAAAGTTTACGCCGAACGGACGGACGGACAACCCCATACCATAATACTCCGGTCAAATGACGGGCGTATAAATATAGTAATACCGATAAAATCAATTCCATTGCAATCGATAATATTTTTAGTGAATACATTATGTACTAAGTAGTCATTGAATATACTATATTACATTTTGAATTTTAAATAATATTACATATTGTTTATGCTGAGATATATTTCAAACAACTAGCATCACTTATACCAAAGTATAGTTTAATTTCTAAATTCTGATACATGTATTGATAATATATTACAACATTATGACTGATAAATAAAAAAAAAACTGTAAGCTGAACCATTTAAAACATTTCTAGCCCACACTGTGTAAAATACAGTTCAAAACAACTGCATGTAGTATTACGTATACAAATAAACATCCTTTCCTCTCAAAATTACCTCCTTATGTATTGGATAACAATCATCAATTCAGAATGTATCACAGATAATCATGTTTACACCGCATCAAATAAACATCATTTTGGTTTAACCCTTTCATCCCTATAACTTTAGTAAACATTACCATGCATTGATATGGATGAGTCCATTATGATCTACAGTGGTAATAGGATTAAGCTAAAAAAGTTCCAAAAACTGTTTTTTTACATGGCGTTATGTAGTCGACTAGGTAAACTTCAGTAGGAAAAAATGATTTCAATTGTAGATTTCAAGTCAGTGTTGTTTGCAACATTTCAACCAGAGCTTTCAAAATGCTGGCAAATACTTTGATGAACATGTTTTCACTT